GCGCCCAACGCCGACTGCGCCAAGGCGAGCCGCGCCGCCGATGGTGCCGCCTCGGTCATCCAGCACGTGGGGCAGCCCGCGGCCGCCGTGGCCGCGGCGCCGGCCAAGCACAGCAGCAAAGCGGCCAAGCCCTGCGGCCAGGACGCCGCCTTCAAGGCCAGCGAGAACGCCCTCGCCTCCAGCCCCATCTTTCTGCCGCCCAACGAGGCGTTCCGCTCGCCGCCGTTGCCCTATCCGAGAAGTTACCTCCCGTATCCCGTTCCAGAGGGTATCGCCATAAGCCCTCTGTCGCTGCACGCGAAAGGACCCGTGTATCCTCATCCGGTTCTGCTGCCCAACGGCAGCCTCTTCCCGGGCCACCTGGCTCCCAAGCCCGGCCTTCCCTACAGCCTGCCGGCGGGACGGGGCGAGTTCATGACCTACCAGGATGCGCTGGGCATGGGCATGGTGCATCCCATGTTGCTGCAGCACTCGGCTCTGGAGATGAACAAGGACGAGAAGCCCGAGCGGAGGTCGCGGTCGCACGAGAGGCTCCGCTACGAGGATCCCGCCCTGCGGAGCCGCCTGCCGGAGCTCCTCGAACCCAGCGGGAAGCTGCATTTCGAGGTGCCCAACGACAAGAACGTGAAGTTGCACCCGAGCGCCGGCCACGGGAAGACCTCTGCCAAAAGTGACAAACACCTCTTCCCGGACCTCTTGCGAGATGAGCAAGACGCTAAAAGTGAAGCGAATTTAACGAAACCTGTCTTTGCTACTGAAAGCAGTAATCAGGCTAATGACCCCACAAAGCACAAGGTAGAACAAGCCTCTCAGCACAGGGATTTTATTGTAATGAGAGAGGAGTTCGGAAGAAATAGCGATCTCCACGAAACCTATAATTTTAAGCAAGCCCAGAGTTCGTCGGTGTTCGGCTTAAGGAAAGAAGATCTGCCTGTGAGCCAAAATAAAGAGAGGGTGACGGCGCAGCCGCCCGCCGCCTTCTTGGAGGCGGCGCATGAGAGCGATGGCCCCGCTCTGCCCTTCAGCCAGGCGCCCGACGAGGCCAAGCAGTTCTGCGTGGCGGCCGCGCCGCCGAGCCTCGACGCGGGCCCGGCCTACGCCAAAGACGGCGCCGACGACGCCGAGGCGGCCGAGGGCAAAATCCTGAAGCCCAAGCCCTCCAAGCTGGCCAAGCGCATCGCCAACTCGGCGGGCTACGTCGGCGACCGCTTCAAGTGCGTCACGACGGAGCTGTACGCCGACTCGAGCCAGCTGAGCCGGGAGCAGCGGGCGCTGCAGGTGAGTCCGCCCGGTCCCAACGGCCGGAGCGCTTCGGAATGATGGCTCTGTTGTCAGTCGCAGGCAAGGAAAGTTAAAAGTTGATAGAAGTTGCTATTAAAGTTGATATAAGCAGCGCAGGCTGGGGAGAGGAGGTAGCTTCCGTCAGGGCGTCCTGGTCAGAAACGGCTTTAAGAAGGCAAAAGCAAGCTTGATAGTTAACGTTAGGCTATGTAGATAATAATATATTATATATATATATGGATTTTACTTATGTATTCGCTAGTAAGCTTTAAAGGGCTGTTCCTAAGGTCCGGTTCAAATGTGAATGTATGTGTGAAATGCAATGTAGGTATGCAAGGCGAAGGCCGGGCCGGGCGCGCCGGCCGCCGCGGAGCAGGAGCAGCCGGGCGGTAGCGGGGCTCGCGCGCCGGGGTCCCCGGGCAAGCCCCTAGCTGAGCCTAGAGAAGCGGTGTTGGAGTTTGGTGCTGAGGGATGGCAGCCAGATACTGCGTGTGCGGATATCCGGAAGGTGCTTTGCTTTGAATGAAGGGATGAGTTGAGCCGGAGTGTTTTGCATTGTTAAGAAAAGAATTGGTTTGTGCTTATAAAAATGGATGAAATTATCTAAATGATCCATTGAGTGCCCATTTTAATTACATAGATGGAAGGATTACAAGAGGACAGTATTTTATGTCTACCTGCTGCTTACTGTGAGGTCAGTTCTTCAAATTTTTATTACTAGACTCTTACATAAACCTTTGAGTTAAATTTCATTTCCAAATACGCAGAGGGAAGTTTGTGGGCCATAGTCGTCTTTATTCATTGTACAGTTTTGTGTTTTTTCTGTTTTTGTTTTTGTCTCTTTTTACCTCCAAAATGGAATGTTATTTTTAAAAATGTTTTTATGTACAGTATGCATTTATATATCTATATATATATTTATATATACGTATATACATATATATGACAGAATTGTGTGGATATTTACATATAGATGCTAGAAGTTTGAATGCTGTTTCACAAGTCAGGTGTTTTAAACTCTTTACGCTAGATATGTATCTCAAGCCTTGATTTTGAGCAGGCTTTTTTTCTTTGGAAATGCTTTCATATAAGGTAAGGTAAATGAAGTAGCTTTTATCGCAAGACTTTTCATATCACTTCTCTTTCTAGCGTGCAATGATGCGCTTCTCAGAGTTGGAGATGAAAGAGAGAGAAGGCCAAACAGCTACCAAAGACTCAGAGGTCTGCAGATTCAGCCAGGCAGACTGGGAAAACTTGAAAGGAAACAGTGAAAAGAAGCCAAAGTCTGTCGCTCTGGAAGATGCCATTGCTGACCAAAATGACAATGACAGATGTAAGCGAATTGGGGGTGCCTTTCTCCAGGGTGCAGCCTGGTCTTTACTTCGCCAGGGTGCTGTTGGTCGGAATGAGGAACGGATGAGCTTGCAAAGCGCGGTCTCCGTCGGCGCGGGCCGCGCTGCGACGCCCGCTGCTCTCCGTGCTTTGCTTTGGGGTCTTTGCGTCACTGGCTGCGGTCGCATCTGCAGTGTTATTGCTTCCCCCCTGCCTCCTTTCTTCTTTTTAAGCTTGTAAAAACAGGCAAACAAGCAAGCAAACCCACCTCCCCTATGCTGAGTGTGGCAAGCCCAGGGATAACGCAGCCCGCTGCAGGTGTTGGTTGTGGGTGGTGGTGTGTGTGCATGTGCTCGTGTAATGCTGTCGCTGAGCACGCTCGTCTGCGGGTGCCCATTCTCGAGGATGGCTGCAGGAAAATCTCTTCTGGGCAGCTTGAGAGCTCTGAATCCCTGTTCTGCTCGTTCCTGAGCCCTAGGTTTGGCACGGTTGCGTGGTGGTTGGTCGGACTCGCTTGATTTCCCACCAAAGTGAAGTTACTTGGGGTGTTTCGCCATCGCCGAAATAACAGCGCGAGCAAAACGTTGGCCTGACAGGAGAGCAAGGGGAAGTTCCCATTGCTGCAGTGGGGCAGGTACCAGTGTGGGGAGCGGGAAGCAGAGTGTGCACTCGCCTGGACGAGGTGTCCGGGAGGGAGACTGGGCTGCGCGGTGCTCGTTGCTCCCGCGCAGCTCCTGCATGCTGCAAGGCAGGGAGAAATGTGCTCTGTCTTGTGGGAGCTCATCCTGCTGTTCTCCTGAGCCGCTGGGAGCTGACGGGCTGTTTGGGAGCTTGGCTGCATCGCTGTGTCCCCGGGACGTACGTGCTGGTGGCTCGTACGTGCAGGCAGCAGCCCCACAAGTTCTTTGTGGCGGCGTTTGGCTTCCCGGCGCTCGGGATGGCAGCCGGTGAAGCAGGCGGCCGAGTCCGCGCCCCTCCGACGCCTCCCGTGTGGCAGCTTGGCACCGTGAGCGGCTCGGGGCGCTCCAGCCGCGCTCCTGCGCTTGCCGCCGGCAGCGGCTGCTTCCCGCCGCCGGGAAGGCTCTGCCTCGGCTGGCGCGCCTCCTGCCAACACCGCAGCAGCCGGAGCGGCCGAGCGCCGGAGCCGCAGGGCGCTTTGCAGCCCGGCGGGGGGGTGTGGGCTCTTCCCGCTTGACCTGGGACTTCTTCCCTTTTTTAGTTTTTTCCTTTTTTTCTTTTTTTTCCTCTGCGAATGAAAAGCTTTTGCTCAGCGTCCGATTCCCCAAACTTTTCCTCTGGCTTAACGTTTCCAGCACTGAGCGAGTCGTCTCCAGCACCATCCTCCCTTGTGGATGAGGGCGAAATGATTCCCGCCCGGCTCGAGCGTGCAGCCCGACCGGCAAGCAGCGTGAGCCGAGGGGTCGAGCAGCAGAAGTGGTTCAATCCCCCCCGTCTTCCCGGGACGCGCCGGGCGCTCCGGAGCTGCCGTGTTGCCAGGGTGACCGGTAAAGGTTGCTGAGGCGATGGTTCCGCGGAGCGCTTGGGCGCTGCGGACGAGCGGCCGCGCGACTCGTGGGGAAGTTGAACCCTTCCTGCTCGGAGACGGAGCGATCGGGCGTGTGGCGCGGGCGGCACCGTGGCATGGGTACGTGGTGAGCGCAGGGTGCCGCGAGCCCAGCGCCGCCGGGCGCCCTGCTGAGGCGCCCGCGCCGGGATGGGTCCCGCAAGCTGGGAATCCCGCGGTCAAGGAGCGTGGTTACCCATCCGTCCGGTTTTACAGCAGCACGGCGCTGCCCGCCTCGTCCTGAACTGGGGAGATAAAATGGAAAAATAGTCGCTCTTGAGGCGCGGGGTTACGAGGAAGAAGTTGGAGCAGTTTCTATGTGTGGACACGAAACGCTGGGATTTGCAGGAGTGCTTAGGGAGGCATTGTTGCTGTGGGAGCCTGGGGCCAGTGGCCCCCGGTGCGTAGCAGTGTCACAGGCGGCTTTCGTTATTCTCCCAAGGCAAATGAAAGGCTGAAACAGTAAATATGTCCTTTGCCCGGGTCACTGTCACCTTCCTGCAACGGGACAGAGTGCAAAACCAAAATCGGAGCCTGCACGGGCTGCGTCTCGGGGTTGTTTGTTTGGCACCATAGGCTTAGGCAGGAGGAAACAAATAGGGAGAGTTCCCGAGGAAAGACACTTTGGGCAGGAAGCAGAACCACCCCTACTTTTCCTCTGCCCCTTGGGACACCTGAAATGCGATGCTGAAGGTGACTTGTTTTACATGCAGTGTGGGCCTGGTGCCGAGGGCTGGCGTTTGGCTAGTCATTAGGTGCATAAAAAGCAAAAGGTTCCTTGCCCAGAGAGCAGGGAGCGGGTGCCCAAGGGAAGCGGGAAGGCTGCTTTTAGCTGCCACGTTACGCGAGCGAGAGCGTTGCCGCGTAAGCGCTAGGATGCGGTTCCTGGTTTGCCCCGCACGGGAGAGCCCGCTCGCGGGCAGCAGCAGCAGCAAGGGGGAAGGGCGAAGGAAAGTTTGTATCTTTTCCCACTTTCCCCATTTCTCCTTCCTTTTGTAGCGGGTGTGGGTGCAGGGGCAACAGTTTCCCACACAGTCCTGAGCAGCGTGCAGGGGAGATGGCGCGTCGGGCAGAAACGGTGCGTGAAGAAGCGTCTTCCGAACTCCCCTCGTGGCCGGTTTTGTAGGGCAGCGAGCAGGGGCTCGGGCTGTCGGGACCGGTTCTCAGAGCTGCCGTAGGGCTTGCAGGTACCCGTTTGGTGAGAAACAAACACGTTATCCCCTTGCTCGGGGAAGTGTGTCGCTGTGCGAGCTCGACGTCTAGCCTGTTTGTGGCTACCCCTTTGCCGTGTGAATAGCGAGGATGTGAAAACTCGACATGTTGCATGGCCGTTTTCTTTTCCTCTGGGCAGGGAAAGGGAGCTTGTAGGTATATGTGGGAGGGGAAATATAAGCAAATCGATGCTCCTTGTCCTTGTTGGGCTTGTGAGATGTGTTTGTGTTGTCGTGTTTTCAGTAGACTTTTGCACGTTAGTTTGGGGAGACGCTGCTCTGACACAGGCTACCTGCAGAACAGTTTGAGGCCAGAGTGGAATCCACTGGTAAAATATGAATGCAGTTTATGGGCCGTTGCAGCTGTGCTGAGGAGAGGAGGACACCGGCACCGTTGGTCAGTGTCCCAGTGAGGTGGCTGCTCTCGGTGGTGACCGACCGCTCGCTTCCTGGGCGAGTTTCAGTAGACCCACGTGAAGAAACGGTGGCAGCCAAGAGCTGTGAGGGAGGCTGAAGCAGCCGCCTCCTGCCTCTCTTTCTTCTTGAGCAGCGACTATCTGGGGCGAGCCAGGCGGCCTGCGTCCCCCTGCCAAGAGCTCTTGCACACAGCCCGGGAGTTAAGCTGAAGCCGGTTGATTTCAGGGGTGGCGAAGTGGGATTAGATTGCTGCTTCCTGCAAGCCCCGGAGATTAAGACCGTCCTAAACCCTGTGTCGGTGGCTGCTTCTCCTGACCCTTCGAAAGCTGCCTCGGGAATTAGCCAGGATGTGCCTGCCTTGGCTCGGGGCAGGCAGCGCTGTGAGCAGAAAGACTGTGCCAGTCTGGGGATACTCGGGGTGATCTGTGGTGTTTCTGCTGGGGATACTCGGGGTTATCTGTGGTGGTCTGGCGTGGCTGGAGACCCGAGGGAGCTGCTGCGTGTTTCTGGTGTGGTGGTGAGCGCGCTTACCTGCTCTCTTACCTGCTCTCTCCGGGCATGCCGAGCCCGCCGCGCTTCCCGGCGTCAGGGCACATGGAGGGCAGTTTGTTGTCAGGCTGCCAAATGAAATCCGGTAGAAGCATTTCCGAGGTGATCCTTAAAATGCTGCTCCGGCTTTGGGTATGCGGCGTGACACACAATCCCGCGTGCTGTTGGTGCGACTGTAGGGCACAGTCGTTGCGCCGCATCTTCGTGCCACGGGTGCAAGCGCGCGGTGTTTGCAGCTCTGCTGGGGAAATGCTGCGTGCTGAAAGGCCCGGGTGGCACTTGCTAAGGTATTTACTTTCTTCCTCTGAGCCCTCAGCTCTTGTGGAGGTGCCTGTCAGCGTGGCTGGCACGGAGGACTGCGACGGTGTCCGTCCTAAAGCTGGGAAGCGAGCGGCTGTTTCACCCGAAAGGCTCCGGGAGGGAAGAAGGGCCGAAGCCCGAGGGTGCCCCGTGCCTGCGGGCAGGCAGTCGCCTTTCCCTTGGCCCAATGGTCTCGCCCTGTGTCTGCAGCAGCACCACCGGCCGTGTGTCAGGCAGTGCCAAGTGTTCAGGGCCAGCACGTGTCCCCGGGGCCCCAGGCACCACGCACGGCTTCGCTCCGTGACGCCGTGAGGACTGTTCTTTCCAGAAAGGGGCATTTATTCCCCTCCTTCCGGGGCTGATTAGAGGTATTTTGGGGCTGGTTGTGGCTGCGGAGCCCGCAGGTGTTGGCAGTGCTGCGGGAAGGTGCTCTTGAGATAAAAGGGCGAAGGCGCTTGGACCTTATCCAGGCGCTGCCACCGCCGAGATAGCGGCAGGGGGAGCTGGGCAGGAGCAGGGGGAGGCTGCAGGGGATGAGTGCTTGTCCCAGGGAAGGGGATAAGCCGAAGGGACCAGGCCCCAAGGGGTGGGAAAAGGGTTTACCAGAGTGGCCGCGCACGGGAAAGCTGATCAAGAGAGCAAAGCAGCGGATCTGCGTGCAGGAGGGGAAGTGAACCTGTGGGAAGGGAAGTGAGAGAGACGGTGGCGGGGAGGGAAAGGAAGAGGGATGTTGAGCCCTTGGGAAGTGGAACAGAGAACAGAGCGAATTTGCCAGGCAGCGGCAGACGTGTGAGAGGAATAGAGCAGTTAGCCGGGAGGGCTGGCAAGCAGGGAAGCCAGCGTGCCGGGCAGGGCTGTGCTCCGGGAGCCCAGGAGCAGCACGGCCCGGCCCCGGGGGCAGCACCTCCTCCGGGTGCGGATGAAATGCCCTGCTGAGCCGGGCGCCTGCTTGAGATTGCCTGGGGGGAGGAAGGTGTTTTTGGGGGTGGGAGGAGGCTGGGGGTGTCCGGTGAGCGGGGCGCAGAGCGGCTTGGTGCTGGTTTCTGGTGAGCGATTCGGGGCTCGCCGGGTCCCTGCTGCTGCTGGGAGGGCGCCCTGGGCGAGCGCAGGCTCCGAGGTGACAGACGTCGTGCGGTGGCATAACCGGGCTCGGTGCTTCCAGCGAGGAGGCCTCACTCCAACCCTGAGCAGTGTCTGAAACGTTAGAGCTGGTCTTGGTGATATTCCGTGCGGATGCGCCGGTTTCCCTTCTGTGTCTGCAGAAAGAGGGACAAGTGCCTTTACTTGTCCGCCTTGGCTGCAAGGAGCAGAGAAAGGCTCTGGATTAGCGAAAGGCCTCTCTTTATTATCGTCGGAAAGCGTTCGCTGAGAAAGGCCCTTGCAAAGTGAAGCTTGGGTTACTGCCCGCCAAGGCTTTGGGGCAGCGAGGTCGCTCTCTGAAAAGGGTCCGTGCTTTCCATGTCTGACGCTTTCTCTTCATGTTTTAAGAAGCGTATGTTGATATTTCTGTAGATGCATGCGTTATGAATGGTGAACTTATAGTGATCTAAAAAAAAAACCAATAAGACACTATGTGCATTTGTGAGGGATCAGTACGTAACTAATGTGCTTCTTATGCCTCGTCTTTTATTTTCAGGTAACTTTATTAGCAGAGAAAGCAACCAAGGTCACTTTCTTGAAGTTCCCGAGGAAAAAGCTCTCTCACATGAGAAATGTTATTTAGAGAGACATTCTATATATGAGAAAGCGGAAGAGCAGCCGGCAGAAGATATTGGCCAACATCCATGTCCACGTCTGGACAGGAAGCGTAAACACTCTGGTGAGAGAGTACAAAACGATGGCAGCCAACACGACAGCTTTATGGATGAGCTGCAGGATGAAGTTTTATCAAAGGCCAAAAAGAAGAAGCTCTGCAAAGGTAAAGGAGCGTTTTGCCTTTGATCTCTCTCGAGGAATGTCTTGTGAAAGGAACGTCCCTTTGGCTTAATGTGTTTCCATTTATGCACTTGATAGTTACTAATGTGAGCACTGTCATTTCACTTAAAATTATATATATGTATATACATGTATGTATATATATATATGTATAACTCTCTCTCGGAAAATAAATACGTCGGTATGTAAGGGGAAAGCAGGAGTCATTGGACGCTGTAGCCACAGCAGTGCAAGTTCCTGTAGTGCATGTAACCCGTAATGAGCGAACCTTTAAAATGCATAGTGTGGTGCTAAAGCTGAGACTATATGCCCCGAAAGTGAAATGTAGCTTTTGTTTTAAGTTGAGGGGGCTTTTTGATTAATTTTTAGTTATTTTTCCATTAGATGACTGGCCTGAGAGGGAAATGACAAACAATTCCTCTAACCACTTAGAAGAGCCCAATTGTAATGAGGTGACCAACCTGAAGGTGTGCATTGAATTAACAGGGCTCCATCCCAAAAAGCAGCGTCACCTGCAGCACCTTAGGGAACTATGGGAGCAGCAGGTGTCACCAGAGAGATCCCCGTCCGGCAAGTTGGGCCGGCAAAGCAGGAAAGATTTAGCTGAGGCTGTTCAGCCAGAGACCACTGCAAAGGTCAAAGACTTCACAGAAGAAAGGCCCACCAAGAAAAGGTCAGAGGCCAAAAGCAATAGAAGTTGGTCTGAAGAGTCCCTCAAAACAAGTGACAATGAACAAGGTATGCAGAGACTACTAGGGAAGCCAGTTGGCTTGAGCATTTACAGTGACGCATGCTGCCACCGATGTTAAGGGCTTGTCGAGAGCTTTTTTTCTTTTTAATTGCTTAATATATCTCTGGAGATGTCCATCTGTGTAAGGACTGAGAGCTCCACTCTTAAGGGATGCACCGTAGCTGATACTTGGCGGAAAAGCAAACGTGTTTGTGTATGTGTGTGTGTAACCGTGTGTGTCTGTGTGTGTGTTTTGACTTGCAATAACTCTGTCCTGGCTGCGTGGGGGGAGGTTGGTCTCTAGCAGAGCTCGGGGGCGAGGGGAGGGCGCTGGGTGCAGGGATGTTTCTGAGCAAGGAGGGCAGCGAGCAGGGCGCTAGCGCACACGGGCGCTGCAGACCTCGGGCACGGCCTGCTGTAGAGCAGTGTAGGTGCTGCTAGGGGCTTTGTTCCTGCGGAATCCAACGGCTCCATCATCCCGGGGACTGCTGCCTTTGCCGGCCTTTCCCGAAGGCCCCGTGGCCCCCTCGGTGTCGCTGCCGTGTGGCCGGCCTGCGGTGTGCCAAGCTCCCTACTGAGGGCGACTCTTGTTGCTGCCCGGCCTCCTTCCCCGCGCGCTCCCCTTCCTCCTCTCTCCGCTCCTGCCCGCTCCTCATCCCGGTGAAGTGCTTTGAGGCACCCTGTCCCATTCCTTCCTGTGCACAGGGAACGCTCCGGTCCCCCTGCCGTGCTCACCTGTCGAGCGCAGCCTCCTCCATCACTTGTCTTTCCCAGCTTTCCCCTCGGTGGAATTATTTGAGGGCACAAACTTGGATGCCTATTGATGGGGAAGCTTCTCCAAAAGGACTTGCAGAGCAGAAGATGAAACCTGACTTGAAAAGGGACTTGGGCTCTCCCTGCCCTGCTTGGTGAGCGCGGGGTCTGCTCTGGCATTCCCACTCGTCACCCTTTGGTGCTTTCAGAAGGAGCTGCCTTGTTAGAGGTTCAAGGCAGGGGGCTGGCCCGACACGGCGACAGGCTTTGGATTCACGCATCCCTAGAGGTCCCTTCCAACCTGAATGGTTCTGTGATGCCCTAGCGCAGCGCCTCGGCACAGCGAGGAAGGTGGCCCCCGTTCCCCGCTGCTCCCAAGGGCATGTGGATGCGGTCGCCCCGTGGCTATGACAGACCTTGTGGTTTGGGAGCCACTGCAAAGCCATAAACCTGGCTCCGCTGTGCCCCGCCATCGCTCGTGCGCAGCTCCCTTTGCCAACGCGCTCGCAGCCCTGCGGAGCGCAGACCTCCGCATCCTCCTTTCCGTAGCTCGCTGGGACGAGGAGATTTTCTGCAGTGTGTAACAGCACTCTCCGTGTGACTTTTGCACAGGGAAGGAGACTGCTTAGCCATCCTTGCCCAGGCATAGCCCTCATTTGTTCCCTTAAAGCGTGCGGTTTCTCGGAAGGGATCCGTGGCGTCCTGTAGCAGGAGCAGTCATCGCTCCCAAGCGGAGCTGCCGCTGAGCGGTCGCCCGTGTCCCCCGTTCCCGGTGGCCGCTGGCCGTGCGCGGGGGCTGGCGCGGGAGGCGTTTGCCTTGCCCGAGGGCGCCGCCGCAGCGCGGGCGACGTGGCCCATCGCGGCAGCGCCGCCGATCCGCGAGCTCTCTCCCGCGGTGCGAATCCCGGCTCCCGGTGGCGCGGAGCAGTGCGGAGCGGCGCCTGTGCAGCAGCAGGGCCGCGGCTGCGGCATCCCGGGATCCGTGCACAGCCGCCCCGGCGCAGGGCCGTGCAGGAGAGCCCCACGCAGGGGCTGCCGGGGGTCACGGCCGCTGCCCTCCGGCTGCTTTCCCCCTGCGGCCGAGGCTCCGAGCGCGCGTGGGGCTTGCGGCGGGATCCACCTTTCCTGCAGCCACCAAAGTTCTCTATCCTCTCATCCTCCCCCTGAAGGGGAAAGCCCGCAGCTTGCTGAGATCCCCTTCTCTTCCTGCGGTATTTTTTTCCCCCTCCTCCCCATCTCCCTGTATTTTTGCCCATCTCCAGACCTACTGGCTCTCTGTTCTTCTTTTCCTCCTCTCCGCGCTTTTTCCCTCTCTGCCTTCGCGCTCACCAGACTTCGTTGCTGCTGCTTTCCAGCTTCACAAGTTTGTTCTCGTAAGCGATTAAGGAGATAATGACGATACTTCTGTATTGGAATCGGGCTTTTTATGTGCTGCTCCAATTAGGTTAGTTGGAAACAGGAGAATTAGAAACACTCTTCTTATTCCGTGCTGTTTGCAGAGCTGGAAAGCCACCCTCGCATCGGGACGTTCAGGCTGCAACGGGAAGGCTTTTCTTCCTGATTGCAGTGCCTGGAAACCAAAAGGGCTGGATTCTGGCCCCACAGTCTGCACATCATATGTCCCATAAATCTGCCGACATCTGGTTGGCAAGCCGGGTTACGCGTCTCTTTCTAGAAGGTGGTTCTGGAAGAACCTGAGGGGCTCCTGTTTTCATCCCTTATCTAGGAAGCCTTCTGCGGGCCGGCATCTCGGGCCTCTTTGGAAGGAAACACAGGTGGGAAGCTGCTCCCTAAGGCGTTGCCAGATTTTTAGTTTAGTTTTCACTTTTTGCCAGCCCGCTTTGGATGGAGTTTCGTGCATCAAGGCGTCTGGCTGCACAGCCCTGTGCTGTGTTTGCTGCTGCCGCCTCGCCGGTTCTGGATGTGGCACCGCTTCAGAGGTGCCGCAGAACGAAGGGGCCCTGTCCCCAGAGCCCTGTGTCTGGCTGCCCCTTCCCTCCGGGGCACGGAGCTGGCCGCCCGGGTGCCCCTTCCTTTCCAGCAACCTTTAATTCGCTTATTTTCTCCAGAGGAGTTAGCTCTGAGGCCACCTCAATCTCTGCCTGGGGAAATTCACGCTGTAGAAAAGTCAACTTTCCTTGTTCTTACCTTGTTGCCAACCTGCTTGCACTCTGGAAAAAAAAACCCAAATAGATAAAGAAACAAAAGAAGAAATGAATAATGGCGCTGCTTGCGTGTGGCTGGGTGGAGAGACTCCGCTCGCACAGGAGGCACCTACGGCGACATCCCCGTCGCGCGGGCGCTTCCCGGCGCTTCCCGGCACGGGCTTTCCGCTGCCCTGCAGTCCCGCGGCGCATCCGCTCAGGGGAAACGTGGCTTTTGCTGCGAAATACCTCAAGCTTTTGCTAGGGAGCTTGCACAGGGCTCCTTCAGCAAAGGCTCCTCGAGGAGCCGTTGTTTTCTTCCTTAAGCGAAGTGCTGCAGAGAGGTGCTTGCTCCCTCATGGATATCTTAAGCGCTCAGCGCTGTCCCGTGACGCCCTCTTCCATGCTGCTCTTTCTTCCTCTTTTCCCCCCTTCCCGTATCCGCCCCAGCCTTGAACCTGGGAAAGGCAGCAAAGCCCAGTAGGGCCCAGGATGAGGGAGAAGTTGGTTCCCGCTCAGCTCAGGCAGTTCCAGGTAAGGAGGTGCGTTTTCCCGAGGCGAGGAGAGGGCCCTGCGGCTTCGCAGGGAGGCACCGCGCGGCCCTTGCAATAACCGGGCGCCGCTCTTAGAGGTGTGGGGGGGTTATTTTTGTCAGGCCTGTTACCACTATTAACTTCCTTTAACTTGCAAGATGCTCTTTACGATTTGAATGCGGGAACACTTAAAATATTAATGAGTTGAAAGTGTAATTGGTAGGTCTCTTAAGCAGGCGAGGAGCTTGTGTTAAGTGCTAGCAATATGTTTTCCTTTTAACACACCATGCAACGTGTAATGCCTTTCCTTCCTATTTAGGCTTGCCTGTATTCCCAGTGTCTCCGCACATGAAGAGCCTTTCATCCACCAATGCAAACAGCAAAAGGCAGGCTCAGCCAAGCTGTACTCCAGCCTCGAGGTTGGCTGCCAAACAGCAGAAAATTAAAGAAAGCCGGAAGACAGATGGGCTGTACACAGATGAAGAGGAGGATTTCCAACCTGCATCTCTGCAGAAATACGCTGAGTGCGAGAAGCCATCAGGGAAACGTCAGTGTAAAACAAAACACTTGGCGCTGCAGGAGAGGAGGAGGAGGTCATCTCTGACAGGGGATGACACCACAGATATCGAAAATGCTGAAGATAAGGTATCTTTATTTAGGCTTAATTGTCTGCTAGCACGGCCCAACGCAGAGCCAGCCCGCGTAGAAGTAACGCGCTCTCGCGCGGGGCAGCGGTGCTGTCTTGTGAATGCTCCTGTGTGTGTCTGTGTGTGTGTGTGTGTGTGTGTGTGTGTGTGTGCGCGTGCTTGGCACCGCTCTCCTTTGCTCCTCCTAACCCCGAGCGTGAGCCGCTCTTGCGGCCTGTGAGGAATCTCGTGCTTAAGAGCAATAATTGGTGTTCCTTAAGAAAATGAGCAGAAAAAAAAGTAGTTATTGGCTGCAGGAATTGTGATACACGGTACCGCAGAGGCGAGGAGGGAAGAATAAAAAATTGCTTTTCCAGCAGGTGTTGGTGCCGAGGAGGGCGCGGAAGCGAGCGGAGCCCTCGGAGTGCGACGTGGCGGCGGGCGAGCAGAAGGCGTGCGAGGCGAGGGCGGGCGAGCGGCTGGCGCAGGCGGCCCCGCCGGCGCCCTGCGCGCCGCTGCTGCCGCCGCTGCCGCCGCCGGCGTTGGGCGCCGAGAGCGCGCCGAGCCGCCCCATGCCGCCCGAGGCGCGGCGCCTCATCGTCAACAAGAACGCCGGCGAGACGCTGCTGCAGCGCGCCGCCCGCCTGGGATACGAGGTGAGGGCCGCGCGCCGGCGGGACGCGCCGTCGCCTCGGGGTCTCTGCTCGGCAGGGCGCTTTGGAAGCGCCCTGGGAAGCCCTTCTGGCCCTAGCGGGCGGCAGGGTGCAGGGAACGGGCTGGGAGGCAGCGGCAGGGCCACTGAGGGAGCCCATGCTGCCTGCGAACTCGCGCTTCCCTTTTATCTTTCCCCCCAATGTAAAATTCAAATCTTTTTTCCTAGTTTTCCGCATTGGAATTTTGAGAGTCAGAGGCTTTGGAGGTTGGCTGTTGGGTTTCCGCGTGTTCACCCTCTGCCACTGCGTCTCCTGCAGCTCTCCTGGCAGGTCGCTGTGGGAATGTGTCCCTGCCCTGCGGGGCAGCCGGGGCACTGTGGGGCATGCGGCATCCTCGCGGAACGAGCAAAGTGTGAAGCTTTGCAAGCAGCCCTCGCTTCTGTTTAAACACAAACCATCTGCAAGCAGATTTTTTTTTTTTTTTTTTGTCTGTGTGGTGATCTTTAATGAGCCATATGATTTTTGCTTTTGTTACTTGTGAAGAGCGTGTAGTTTTGAAGAATTTGTTTGGGTTTTTTTTTGTCTTTTCCTTGCTGTGACACAGACTGCAAAGCTCCGTGTGCCCTCTTGCAGGACCAGGTGCATCATAGGAGCACTCTGAACGTTTTACACTCCAAGTCTGGAGCTTCCCGGCATAGCTGGAACAATGTTGTCTAATGAAACAGGCCTCCTGTTGCTACGAAAATCAGTAACTGATGAATCCACCAGCTCTGCTGGCTTGTGGCATCCTTTTATTTGGGGGAATGCAGGCTTCCAAGTAGGAGCATCGCTGCCTAGCGTCAGGTTTCACAGAGGAGCGTGTCGTTGCTTGGGGCCGTTCCCGGTTTGCCGGCCAGCAGTCCCTGACTTCTGTGCCAGCGGCAGAGTTGGCCTCGGTTGGGAGAGGGGCAGCGTGACCTCGGAGCGAGGTCGGCTGAGTTGGCCTGTCTGACCTCGAGGACCCGCGGAAACCTTGGGATACCCTTTGTGTACGGAGGGCTCGGCTTGCAGGGAAGCCTTCTGCAGCGCTGGAAGGCAGGATTTGTCTGGAAAGGTTTTGTTTACCCTAGACAAAGCCGCGCGCTAAACTCGGGGCACTATCTGCTCTAGGGAGGCGGAGGAGAAGCCGTTGTTACAACGTTGCCATGGCAATCGTCATAATTTACATGATTTAATTTCCTACGGATCTAAAATTTCCCATGGATCTAAAACGAGCACGTACGTGCGCTCCAGGCTGCCGGCGTGAATTCTCTGCCCGCGTGGCGGCTGCAGCCCGCGTGGGGGGGACCCGCGGTGCCCGCCGAGGCCAGGGACGGCACTTGGGGACTGGGTCATGGGCTGGGGTCGCGCTCCAGCTGCCGACCCTCGGATCGCTCTGCTGGCGCCCGGCCGCGGAAAGCCCAGGGCATCGGGGCTGCCCGGGGCGAAGGCCCTGGTGCCTCCGGGCGGCCTGGTGCTCTCGCCACGACTCGGAGAAGGGCCCCAGCCTTTGGTGGCGAGCGCGCTCCGTGAGCAGCTGCCTCGGACTCCCCAAGGGCGCTTGTCACGCACTTAAACACTCGGCATGCCGGCCCCGGTCACCGGGCCGAGCGGAGCGGGCGGGCACGGGCTGTGCGGCGCCCGCGCGCGGGGCTGGGAGGAGCGGGCGGCGGGAAGGGGCTGGCGCGCGCCGGCTGCGGTCGCGCTTTGGCAGCGGCAGCCGCTTTCAAGGGCTGGAGCGGTGGGTGGTCACGCCGCCCTGTCAGAGTTTCACTTGGCCTGTGGTCAACTTTGATAGTTTGGTCAGCCGGGGAAACTGCAGCGCAGCGTGTGTGCCTGTGGGGTTTTTTTTTTTTTTTCCCTCCTCTTTTTCCCATTTTTTTCTTCTTTTTCCCTCCCCTCCTGCCCTCCCTTCCCCTGCAAGCAGCCAGCTGCAATTAGCGGAAGGCTGGGTTCTGAGGATCTCTGGAAAGACAGGAGCAGGGCTGGAGAAAAGAGAATATTCAAGAAGTTATTTCTTCTTGGATATAAAATCCTCATTAGGGAAGAAAAAAAAAAGAAAAGGGGGAAAAAAAAAAGGAGGGGAGAAGAAAAGGAAAGGTAGGGTGAAGCTAAGTGGCTGGAGCATGAGCTGTGGATCCTCGGGCTCGCAGAGGCGGCCGACAGCCCAGCTTGCGAAAGGAGCGTGGAGTAATTCCCAGCCTTTTCCGCGAGCCGCTTCCCAGGAGTGGCACACGCTGCTCCCAGCCCCCCGGGGAGCCCGAGGGCTGCCAGCTCGGCACCGCGGCCCCTCGCCTCATTGCACGGTGGGCATGGAGTTGTCCCGGCAGGGGGGTGGCGGGATGATTCCGCGTGTGAGGCATCCAAGAACAAGCGCAGCCAGCGTCTAGCCTGATAAATGGCACGGCTAGCAGGGCTGCACGGAGACAGCACGGCGAGCCTTCCTCCGCTCCGGAAATCTGTACGGAGCGAGCAAAGTGCCGCCGGAGCCCTCGGGAAGCGCCGCGGTGCCTTGGCTCGGCCCCCGTGCCAGGTCGCGCCCGAGCAGGGTGCGAGCAGCCCGTCGCAGCGCGTGCTCGCTCCTGGAGCCGTTAACGCGTTCTCCATTGGAAACAAGTGACTTGAGATAATAGTAGTCTTAAAACTGTAATTTACTTTTTGTGGAGGGAGAAAAAGGAGGGAGAATTATAGGGAGTACCAAGTCTTTTTCAAGAAAAAATCACCGGAGGCTTGCGTAAGGAATTGCATGCGGGAGGAAACACTGCCGGGCGTTGTGCTGCTCGCTGCCTTTCAGGTCCAGGGCCAGGCTCGGATACTCTCTGCTCTCCGGGGATTGGGGATGAAGTCCTGTGGCAAAGGCAGCGAGGTCGGAGGCTCGCGTGGGCCGGGACGGGGCGCAGAACCCGCACGGCTGGTGCCCAGCAGGGGCGAGGTGGCCGACGCGGCCCCGGAGCGAGCCGGGCCCTGCGGATGCGCTCGGAGCGGCTTCCGCGTGGCTGGTGGTTAAGCAGGGCCCCCAAGGGGCCACGAGCGGCCCCGTCACGGCCCTGTCGCCGGGGGGAAGCGCGTGCGAAAGCTGAGCGGGGGGGTCATGGCAGCCCCGCGCTCCTCGGCCCAGCCGCGGCGGCTGATTTTTTTTTTTTTTTGGTAAATTGAATAAATCATGTTTAAAAGAAAAAAAAAGTTAATGAGGCATTTAATTAATTAACAATGTAGACTTTTATGGTCTTTATGGTTACATTTTGTGGTTAATGGCATTCTTCTTACGGCCTCTTAACGTGGAATCGCCCAGCGGAATGGGCTTTAGTGTCCAAGCGTAGTAGGTATGGTGCCCTGCGAGGAGGCTGCCCTGTTATAAAAAGGGAAGGAAAGTTCCTTTTTGTTTTGTTTTGAGTTTCAGAATCTATTTTAAATACGCATTTGAAATAGAGCCGAGTGTGACCGGTTTCGGGCCTTGCGGGGGCCAAGGGGACGCGGGGAGTGCAGGGTCGCTGCGCCGTGGGGCTGCTGTCGGCGCCCCACATGCATCCACCACGATGGGGCCCTCGGCGAGCGCGACGCTGCCGCGATGGGGCCCAGCGCCCGCGGGCCCCTCGGTGAGCAGCCTCCTTGCGCTATCCCGGACACATCCTCCTGGCCAGGTGGAGCGGGAGCCCGGAGTACGGAGAGATTGTCCGGGGGGACATTCGGACCACAGATAGCGAACGTGTCGCAGACGGAGGCTTATTTTGGTCTTTTGTTTTGACAAAAAAAAGGAATAAAGTAGGGGAAAACAAGCAAGGCAGGCGGGCTCCCCCACGCGCGCAGCGCTTCGCGGGCAGGCTGCTCGGCCTCCGAGGGGAGCGAACGCGAGTTAATGGCTTGCAGCTGACGCTCGCGCTGTTTTGTCCCTCCAGCACAGCGTCTAAAATGCCTTTCATGTGTGTGTATTTTTATTTTTATTATTATTATTATTATTTATTTGCCCCTGGCACAAGCTGAGCGGGGCTTGCAGCAGCGGCCCCCCTTTTCGCCCGAGCGATGGAGCCGTCGCCGCTCCGGGGCGGCGCGGCCGCCGGGCCGGGCCCGGGCCCTCATCCATCCGTGGCGCGTGTGACTGCAAGATGAATTGTGCGAAATTCACGCCGCTTCCCGCGGCCACCCGGGGCGCGTTGGAAGCTGGTGCCTGGCGTTAGTCCTGCGTTGCAGGAAAGCGGGAAAGTGTGGTTGCAGATGGGATTTCCCTCGGCTTCACCAGGAGCGAGGCTTTTTTTTCCATTCTTTTTTTTTTTTTTGGTTTGTTTTCCCATGGCAAACCGTCCTTTGTGCGCCTTAAATGCGGTCTGTTTTGGGTTACGATTTTTTTGTTTTGTAATTAATCTGACGTTGGCTGTGCTACTGTTGTGCTTGCAGTGTTTTGTGCTTAAAAGAAACAAAATAAAAAGAAAAAAAAAAAAAGAAAAGGCACATGTAAGAGTGGGCTCTTTTAACTAGGTTTCAGTATGGAAGTTTTGAGAAGCACATGCTGTGGGGCTTTTTGGGGAAGGGGGTGAATGTTTTTTCTTGTGAAATGTGCACATTCCCTCTCTCCTGCTCCGATGATTAACACGGGGAAAACACTAACGTGGGGATAATCTGTTTATGAGCCACGGGCAGAGCGGAGAGAGAAACTCGTGCTCCTGAGAAACTGTGGCCTCGGCCGCTGAGCCACGCACAGCTTCCGCTTTCCCTTTGGGAGGCCCCGCTGGAGGCGGGATAGCTCCCGCTCGCCGCGCGGGCCGTGCCGTGGGGCTCACGCCGTGCCGTGGGGCTCACGCCGTGCCCGTGTCTCTGCTCCCCTCCCGCCTGCAGGAAGTGGTGCTCTACTGCCTGGAGAGCAAGGTGTGCGACGTGAACCACCGCGACAACGCCGGCTACTGCGCCCTGCACGAGGCGTGCGCCCGGGGCTGGCTCAGCATCGTGCGGCACCTCCTCGAGTACGGCGCCGACGTCAACTGCAGCGCCCAGGACGGCACCAGGTGAGCGGCGGCGGCGAGGCGGGGCCGGGCACCGCGGCCAACGGGGCGCCTTGGCTTCCTGCAGCACCGCGGCGCCTGAAGGAAGCGCCTCGTCCCTCCCCCTGTCCCGGCTGCTGCCTCATCTTCCTCCTGCCCCGGGAGGAGACCCCCAGAACTGCCCCCACGCTGTGCCCTGCTCCGTGGCCTCCGCAGTGCGGCTCCTCGGGCAGGAAGGTGTGGGGCTGCATGATGTCCCTCCTGGCGGGCGGCACCTTTGTGTTGCCACCCGAGTTTAACCTAAGGGGCTTTTCCTGCGAGTTCATGAAGGCTCTCGGGGGTGTTTTCTGTTGAGTTTGTGGAACTCCCGCCTGAAGCGGCGCGCGGGCAGGAGCTTGTGGAGGCGCCAGCTCCTCCGCACGGTGCCAAAGAGCAGCCTTTGCCTTTGCCTCCGTGGCAGCCTTGCTTTTAAGGGCACTTCAGGCCTTTGCTGTGTTGGGGTGGTGCGAGTTCCCTCTGTATCCCATGGAAATGTTGATTTGCTTCATTGTTAGCTGCATCTGCTCGGATGTTTGGTTGTGGTTTTGTTTCTCTTCCCCCCCCCCCCCCTTTTTTTTTTTGCTGCTTGATTATTATTATTTTTCTCATGCTGATGTTGGCTTTTTGTTTTTCTTTCACCCAACACTAAGGGTGCTTTAGTTGCTATACTGGCATAAAAGATACTGAGGTTTTTTGCTTTGTAGATACAGGCGATGCTGCTCCGCTTCTTTTTTAAGCTTCTTGCATATAACCTAATTAAGGAAAAAGAAAGAAAGGCCTTTATCTGATTTTTAAATACCTTTCTGACCATCTCGGTGCTGGACTGACCTTGGGATACCTTTTCCTCGGTAAATGCAGAACCGTATTCAATCTATTTGTTTTGGGGGCAGGTCACTTTGTATTCTGTGCAGCTCCTGCAGCTTGTTATCTTTAATGGTTTATCACATTCGCCATCACCATCCAAATAGCCAGGGAGGTAAAATTAGCATAACTAAGAGTCTGCCCCTTTTGTTTTTAAACTCTTTACTTATCAACTTGGGAAGGGAGGAGTCAGGAAAACAAAAGTCCCAAGGGGCCGGGTGAAGATGGTCCATTAGGAGCTGGTGATGGTCGGTCCTTACCAGCCCATCGCTGCAGAAAGGAAATGTTTCTGGAGAAACATTGAAACTCTGGCTGCGTTGTCAGATTCCTTCCCCATCGCCCATCCATTCAAAAGGAACAAAAAGGAGGAGAGGGAGAAGCCATAACTATCAACCTGCCTTGCATTTTACTTTCTGGAACTTTAAATACGTGAGCCGCCTAACAGCAGTGAATTGCCATAAAAAGAATGCTAAATTATTTTTGTCTTGCTTGCCAGGACACCTTCTGTGTGGAAAGAATAACCCCAGAAGGTTTCTGAGCGGTTCTAAGCACCTAGGGGTTCAGAGTCCACCTTCGGTTCCGGCTCACAGATGGAGCTGGTTTCAAGAAGAAACTTGGCTTGTAGGCCCTGAGAGGCTGAGTGGGGGAACGTGCCTCTTAGAAATGAATAACCACTTGGAAGGATAGCCAGGGCTTTAATGTAATTAATAAAATGCCTTGCGCCCCTCTCTGCTTATTTTTAGCTGCACCAAATGTGTCTTATAGTCCTCTCTGCCACCTCCCCAGCCAAAGACGTTTTGGGCTGTGATTTAAGTCCTCAAGCTCCTGGAGAAAAATAACCAGTTGTTTTTTCTGAGCGCCCTCCAGGCAGTCTGTATAGACCCTTGAAGACCTGCCCTGTAACAGCATGTGTGGGCCTGGCCTGGGGTAAAATCAGTTTGATCCCAGCCTCCTAAAGCTGGGATCTGCCAGGCTTAAAGCACCCAGATGTCCCCCCAACCCTCCGTCTTGGGGGTGTCTCTTAGGTACCTGCGTGGCTGCTCTAGCTTCTATGGGAAGGTAGCCTCTCGGGCTCTGGATAAGAAGGTTGCAATCCAGAAATCCCCCAGCCAAGCAGGCTTTTATTTATGCTTGTGTTTTAAGGTGCTGCGCGCGCTGAGGGCTCCTAATCGCCTTACCTATAAATAAGAGCAGAGCGTGCTTAAGAGGTGAACGCCGCTTCTCCCTGCGCGAACCCGGGCGAAGGGGAATCGGGGCAGGAGGGAGGGATGGGATTGGGAGGCCCGGGCGCGTGCGGCCGTGCTGCCTTGCTCTGCGAGCCGCAGCTGCTCCGCGGGCCCTGCTGCGGAGCTGCTCCACGTGCCCGGCAACCGCCGCCTCTCCTGCCTGCTGCCCAGCTCCCGCCTCCGCTTCCAGGCGCTCTCCACACGCTCCTCTGTTTTAGCCTTTCCCTGGCAGCCCGGGAGCTCGCCCATCCTTACCAACGTTATTGTTGTATTTTTTATCCGTGAGGAGCAGGATAAGCTGGCGCCTGGCTGTGCTCCGCAGTGGTCCTGCTGGCCCCTGAAACGGTGCAAAGGAGTCTCTCTGTGTTCCTTTATTCCCTTTCTCCCCGTCCCGTTTGTGTTATCTGCAGAGGGAGGGGCGGCCTTCCTCTTTATTTTCCTCCTCCCGGTTTTCTTTCCTTCCTTCGCTTCCTTCTATTTACCACTCTTCCTTCCGCGCGCCTTTCCTTCCTGTTTCCGTGTTCCCATTCCTTCCTTTTGACCTGCTTCCCGTGCTGGTGGCAGTAGGCCCCACGATGGGGTTGTTTCCACTGCCCCTTTCCTTCCTTGGCCCGCCTGCCCTTGCTCTAGGAAGTTGTCCGGGTGCTGCCACATGCCTTTAAACGCTGGGTGCGGATGCACATGCTGCCTTTGATAAATTAAGGGATCGCCTTGAATTCATTACTGCTTCAAAAGCTATTTAGGTAAGTTAGAGAGAGGGAGAAAAAAACAAACAACCCACAAACCAATAAACCCGCAGTCCTCCCCTCTAAGAAAGCGAAACCAGAAAATCCTCGTTCTAAAATAAAATGGAAGATGATTCAAAGTTGAAGACACCAGTGAAATGAGAGCGTGTGTGTGTGGGGGAGCATCCCTGGAGATCCCTTCACCTCCCGCTCATCGCCAGGCTGCGGTGGGAGCTGCTGGGTGCCACGAGCGCTGCCGCCCGCCTGCGCTCCCCTGGGGTAAACGCGGCACCCCGGAGCGCTGCAGGCCCCGAGATGTGCCCGATGCTCCGCAGCCGCCGCGTGGGCCCCGCTGCCGTCGCCTGCTCCCTCACAGCCCCGGGGACGGGGCGCCCTGGAGCGCGGAGCTCCCTGGAGCGCGCCACACACTTTGCGTCTCGCTGCGCATTGCCCGAGGGAATCAATACGGGATGTCGTGGCCCTTTGCGGACGGTCCCCGTGGGCTTCTCTGGTCTTCAGGTTTGAGACCGGTTTTCCAGGAGGTGCCCAAGCGGCCCTGCCAAGGGTCCTTGGATCCCTGGGCCCTGCGGGTCGGGTTGGTGGCCTCAATAAGGCCAGGGCCTGGCGCTTTGCGCCCCGTGTCGCTGGGCGGGCGCGGGAGGGAGGCCACAGGGGATCCCTGGGCACGTTGTCCCCGCGTGCTGTTGCCTCACGGAGCGCCCCGCTCACGACGGCCCTGATCGCCCTCCCTTGCAGCCTGCGGAAACCGCTCGGAATGAGCGCAGCGGGGACGCGTTTCCCTTCAAGTTGGGTCACCCAGCCTCCTCTGAGAGCCAAAGCAGTGCCAAGAAGGGGGAAGCAGCGAGGGCCTGATCTCTGCTTTGCTTTGCTTTACCTCTCGTGCCCTCCCGAGCTGCCTGGGGTGCCAGCGCTCACAGAGCGGTGTCGGCGAGGGGCAGGTTGCTGTGTGGAGGGAATTTCATCCCTAGCCGTTAGCTGAGTGTTGTTAGGCTGGGCAGTGTGTTGAGTCGAGGGGTGCACCGAGCATGCCTGCACTTTGCCTTCTTTACTGCTGCCTGCACTTTGCCTTCTTTACTGCTTTCCTTTCCCTTATTTTCTCCTTTTTCGTATTTTTATGTCTTTTCTAAATTTTTCTTAAGCTCCAGCATGACTTTCCGGGCTCCTGAGAGTCTTGTTGGGAGGCAGCAGTGTTTATGTACGGCAGATGAAAGGAATAGGATCTGTAGGAATGAGTTGAAATGCCATAAACCCACCCCTCAGCTGTTGAATTTGGCCCCCTTTGAGATGTCAGTCCCTGTCCCCCCAGTGCCTTCTACGGAAACGATGGGCTTTGGACATGACTTCATTAGTCTGAAGCGTAACGTGCTCTACTCCCAGACAACTTCCAGTTATGTATAATCAATTTTAAGGCAAAAGTTAATGAAATTTATAATTAGTTCTAAGGAATTATAACCCTGGAATTGCAGGCATGAGTACTAATGAATAATCTATGTATTGCTGAGCTTTGCTAGCGCAAAATCCGTATGGACTTCTGCGTGGATTAAACTTAAAACAGTGTGTTCTGATATTCTCCGAGCGGAAAGGTTGGATTGCGCCGCGAGTAACTTTGCGAGTGCTGTTTAAGGGGATGTAGTGTGGTAGTGAAATTCCTATCAAATTTTCATAACTTACTTCCATGTACATAATCCAGAGGCTTTGGGTAGCTGGTTTATGTGTGTGCCCAGAGGCTGGCGGAATGAGCCAGCAGGTTAAATTGGCCGAGATTTGGAACAGTGACTTGAAGCAAAAATTGATTTTTGAGGCTTCACACGAGCTGCTGCCTTCTGTTGTGCCGCGATGTCGCCGTGCCAGCCCTGGAAACGTGCAGAGCAGCGAATCCATGTAGCCCGGGTACCTGCCCCGAGCAGCTCTGGCTCTGCGGAGACGCGAGGGGAGGCAGGGAGGGAATGATGCGTGAGTCAGAGCGACAACGAGAGGTTTGACAGCTCTATTAATAGTGTGATCTGCTATAAATAACCCCGATCCAAAGTCAGAAGTTACATCTCGTACGCATCTGCAGAATATTGTTGTGCCGAAAAGTAACCCCGTGATCTTTTCTTTGTTGTTGTCGTTGTTCCCCAGGCCGATCCACGACGCGGTAGAAAATGACCATTTGGAAATCGTGCGCCTGCTGCTGTCCTACGGCGCCGATCCCACGCTCGCTACCTACTCGGGGAGGAGCATCGTGAAGATGACGCACAGCGAGCTCATGGAGACCTTCCTCACAGGTGTGTGTCCGGCAGCGCTGCTGCTGGCCTCGCCTCGCCTGCTCAGGGGCTTTTCCTGGGCCCTTGCAAAGAGAGAACTGCTCCGTGGGCCAAACAAAACCCAAGTTCAGATCTGTTCTATACCTGAGCTGCCGTGAAACGATATTAAATGTTCTTGTCTTCACCCGGGTCCATATTCTAATGCGTTCATGGCTTTTTTTTCCCCTCATTCATATTGATTTAAAAAAAAAAAAAAAAAAAGGCAAAACTCCCTAATAATTTTATGTCCAAAAAATGTTTGTAGTAGTCTTTGAGTTTAAATCCCCATCCAAATATCCGTTTAAAATGGTCCAGTATGCAAAACACGTACATACATTGGGATGCCATTAAAGGTGTCGTGGACTTCTCAGTGTCTTGAATCCCAGCATCTAACTCCACTAGCAAGTCTCTCAGATTAAGGCTCGAGAAAATACCTGTAGCTTCTGAATGCATCCATGTGGGAAAACCTTCCCGGCCATTTGCTTTGTGGCTGCTGCTTCTGCCCCGAGGTTGGTGTCCAGAAGAACCGTGCAGGGTTAGAAAGTGTGGCCTGTCTGGCATTTTGACAAAATCGAGCGCTGCTCTCAGTTCCTGAAGCTTTAGGTCGGGTGTTTGACCGTGGGTGACTGTTGTTTTGTGATGGGTGATTATTTTATGTGATGGGAGAAGGACATTCCTGGAATACCTGCAAGGCAAGGATGCGTGTGTGCTTCCTTGCAGCACGTGCACCGGGAATACCTGGTGGGTTTTCCTTGATGGGATGCTCCCTGTGACATGCAGCCCACGAAGCTTGCCGCTTTTTTGTTCTCATCCATGTGTTTTTTTGTTGTTTTTTCTCCTCTCCAGAGTATTTAACTGACCTGCAGGGTCGAAGCGGCGACGACCCTGGTTTGTACTGGGATTTCTATGGCAGCTCTGTGTGCGGTGAGCAAATGTTACCCTTCATTTCTGCGTGCGCGGAGACGTTTCCCACCGCGCAGCACGTGGGGGCGGGAGCTGCTTTGTTTTCATGGTAGGGGAAGCTAGAAAGGAAGTAAGCTGATTTGGTTTACAGATCACATTATTGGAAGAAAAAGCAAGACCTGCAGCAATCTCTTAAATGCTGACTCGGTATCTTTATTCTTTTATTTAGATCCAAAAGATGAGTCTGGATTTGACGTCTTGGCAAATCCTCCTGGCCCAAGTGATGAAGAAGATGACGGCTTTAGCGACGTGTTTGAATTTGAATTTTCAGATGAGCCTCCCTTGCCGTGTTACAACATTCAAGTGTGTCTCTCTCAGGGGTAAGACGAGATAAAAGTTTGAGGGTAAAAACGGACGAAATGGCCTCTTTGGATCGGCAGCTATTAGCATCTGTGGGAAATGCATTTATAGTTAGGTAATGTAAATTAGATGTCAATTCCCAGCTGCTGGGCATTTAGATATAACCTGGATAGAGGGGGAAGGGAAGGCAGCTGACTCCTCCGTGGGTAAAACACACAATGAAAGTTTTGGGTTCTAGCTGCTGTGCTCATAGTGACTTCCAGCAATTGTATGGGCCTTACAAAATGCCAGCAGCATAAGAAGGGCTGCTGTGGGGCGAGGTTATTCTGGAGGGGAATGAATGGTTTCTGAACACAGAACATCAGAATTCCTTCCCTTAGCCAGAAAGACACCTTGATAATAAGAGAAAACAGGAGCTTCTAGTATGTGAATTTGAAGCTAACATTTCTAAGGTGTTCTTAATTTTATTGAATACCCTTTTCTGTTTTGATGACTGGACGTGCCATTACGGCTGACAAAATGGCTCTGTTACTGAAGTGTCCCGTTAAACCCGCGTTCACACGGGCACTTCTGGAAGCAGGGATGCTGACATTCCCAGCTGCAGTGGCCGCGCATCCCTCGGCTTGCTCCCCTTAGCTGAGGGTGGAGCCCCCTCAGCCGTGTGCCCGGCCGCTGGCGCTGCTCCAGCCGCAGCGCCTTGTCCTGCCTTTCCCACAGAGCTGTGGCACAGGCTGCAGCGGGATGCGGGCGCCGGGCGGGGAGGTGGGAGCCCGTCCTCGGCGCCCTTGTTTGAGCCCCTTGCTCCTTTGCCTTGGCAGGCCGCGGAACTGGCTTTTGCTCTCGGACGTGGTGAAGCGGCTAAAAATGTCGTCGCGCATCTTCCGGTGCAACTTCCCCAATCTGGAGGTCGTCACCATCACGGAGGCCGAGTTTTACAAACAGACTTCGCTAAGCCAGCTCTTCGCTTGTGCCGAGGAGCTCGAAGCTTTCAACCCCGACAGCAAAGAGCTCTTGGACTTGGTAGAGTTCACGAGTGAGCTCAAGACCCTCCTCGGCTCCTCGCTCCACTGGCTGCATCCGCACGAGGAGCCTCCCTTCGACATCCTTTGGTGAACCATCAGGCCGTTTAATGTACAGTGCTATATACAGCTACTTCTTTATGTATATGTGTTCAAATGCAATTGTTTCTGTAAAGAAAGGACACTATTAAATATGAAAATATCTTTCCTTTATATAAGAGAATCTGAATTCCAGTTGGATGGATTTTGGAAGAATTTTTTTTTAAACTTCAATCAGTTTTTACAAAATTGTTATATAATGTTTCTTTAAATGCACACAGGCTTTGGGATAAGTTTGTTATTACTTGGAACACATTTTTTTTTCCTTTTTTTTTTTTTTTTTAAAGGAACACACACATTGACTTTGTTTCATACAAAGCACTGATTACACAGAACATACTTTTTATAGGTGATGTGATCAAAGTCATGTGGCTTGTTTGGGAGACAGAATTTGGTAAGGCACTTCGTGATATTATTTTTGTTTTTTTGTTTACAGAATTACCTGCTTTGGCCAGGTAAGCACTATTGAATATAATTCAATAGTTTGTAATATAAATTAAACCATATCCATACGCATCAACTAATTGTAAGAACTTTTATATCCTAATTTAAAAGCTGTGAAATTTAGTTTTCACACATCAAACCGGATTGTTTATATATGTTTAAACATTTTATGCTCTTTATTTAAAGAAGACTTTGAACTATTTTTTCTGTACCTTGTAAAATATTGAAAAACTAACATATGTTGAAGTTGCTTGAAACTGTACATAAACTAAATTTTCTGAATTGTGTGTTTATGTTTGAGATCTGTGTTTTAACTTTGTAAGTAAATCTCCTGCCTTTGTATTTATATTTTACAAAAATTTTCTTAAAGGCAATAAAACTGTTGAGAAATGAAGATGCTCGAGTGACTGCCACTAATTCCGCGCCTGATTGTGAGAGGAGCTCTGACTTGCTCGTGTTTATAAAAGGAGGCTCTGCTCGCGTTTCCTGAAGCAGAGGAGAGCTGGCACAGGTGCTGGAGAGCATTTTATGCAATCTGATGTAGAATCTACATTGCCCTTCCAAATTCAAGGTTACAAGAAAACACTGGGAGCCTTTTACGGGACAGAGGTTTAAAAGCAGCAGTCACAATACGTTCTTTGCATTACCTTTTAGTTAAAGAATTGTGAAGGGGTTCAATTATTTTTCCTCTTTTGACATCTTTTTAAGGAGAATTGACTGGATTTTCTTTTTCGCGGTGCCTGCGGAGGAGGGGAAATAGCACGAGGGTAAATGCAGTAGTTTTGCTCTAAAGCCTTTATGGCTACAAGCACATTTTGGGCATATCTAAAGGCAGAATTCCTCACGGAAGAAAATGTCACTCTGAACCTAAGAGCCTGGACTTGCCAGGCTTGAGCCGGTCCCTTCATAAGGATGAGATGGGCTCCTTATGGGAGCTGAGGGAGAAGGACTCTTCATTCCTGAAGGTGCCCCAGGGAGCCAGAAGCTGATGCCAGAGCACCAAGGTTTTCTTCCCTCCGGACTCCTTTGAAAGGTGATGCCCTCTCTGGTCCAGCTTGCAAGCACCTCCTGGAGTTCCTGGTGGTCTGTAACTGGGACCCCCGGTGATCCTTTTTCTCCTGTGCTGGGCGCTGGCTTTCCTGGAGAGGAGAGGTGACCTGGAGAAATCAAGGTAAGGGAGAACACAGGAGGCAAGCGTTGCGGACACGCGTGTGTGACCGCTCTGTGCGCTGCTCGGTGCTGCCTCGCGAGCAGGGGCCAGAGGCCTCGTGCCCCGCATGCCCTGCAGGCAGAGAAGATCCACAAAGCTCCCTGCTAGGGGTCAGCTCCTCCCGAAACGGCTGCGTGCTCCTGGGAAGGCTCCGCTTCGTCAGCTTCCCATTATCTCGCCACGGACACCCCAAGTGCAGCCGGGTCTCTCCGCGCTGGCACCAGCAGCGACGCTGGAACGCAGCAAGGAGCTGATGCCGCTGCAAGGCCGGGAAGCGCCCGCCCCAGGGCTCCCTGTGAATGGGGACACGCGACTGCAGCGCTGCCCCTCGACGGAACGTGGCCGCTTTCTCCTTTGGGATGGATGTGCTGCTTTTCCCTTGCGCCTTAGCCTGTGCGAGGGAGCGTGCAAGGTTGGGAGAGGGAGCCGGGCCATGGACCGCGCTGCTCCTTGTGGGAGACTCACTTCTGGGCCTTCCCGGAGGGAAGGAGACACAACTCAGGTAGTTGTACAGTCAGCCGACGCAGGAGATAGATCCCACGGGGAGAGGAGCGCCGAGCTATCGTGGTGACAGGAGGAGCGAGCAGGGCAGCCGTCCCCTGGCAGGAGGCCAGGCGCTGGGTCCGGCAGTGCTGGGCCTAGGGCAGCTCTGGCTGCATCCTGCTCTGCGGGGAGCCGGGGACTTGGCCACCTCAGCGTTTCGGCCTCTGGATTCAAGCTCTTCTCCTCGAAACCGCCTGCATCCTCTGTAGGCCAAAGATAACTTGCTTCGCCGCTGGCATCGCTCCAGGTTCATTAAAAATAAGGAAATAGAAATGCAGCCTCTGGAGGTGCTAAAACTGCAGCGCCCGCGCGCTGCCTTCCGCGGGTAAAAGAGTGCCGTGTTGCTGCCAAGGGGCTTCCTTGGATTCCTCCTGCTCACTACGTGGACGTGGCTGGCGGGGGGTTCACAGGCCCACGGAGGTCCCGGGGAACCACTGGTGCCGCTGGGAAAGGCCCAGCGCGGGCTGGCGCGGGCAGGTGAGCCTCCCTCGAGGGAGTTTCCATCGCTACATGTTTGCTTGTTACCGGCTGGGAAATACCAGGAAACACCCCGCTCGGGGCTGCCTGGGCGGCAGGAGGAGAAGTCACCGCGAGGGCAGCGCGGGCAGGTTTCGGCTGCCACAAGCAGGACTGCTGGGGCCCACAAGATCCCGAACGCCTCCTCTGCCTTGCCCGCCAGGGCTGGGTCCTGCCGAGCAGGAGCAGCGCTGGAGGTTCCCGTGGGGGTTATTTCTCCCTCTGCACGCTGCCCGTGTGTGTTCTGCTTTGCTGCTACCTTTCCCTGCTTGCTCCGGTGGCCGAGCTGGGAGCTGGTGCCAAGGATACCGGCAGAGTGGCCGGCAAGGGCCGGAGCATTTGGTCCTTGTTTGTACTTGTACTTTGGGCTCTGCGGAGGTGAAGTTCCTAAAGCGAGAGCCCAGCTGCCCTTTGGCGGCTGCACCGGCTCCTAGCTTGAGGGATCACAGAGGCAGCAAGGAAATTGTCCTCAGACTGCTCCCAGGGGCCAGGCTCGCCCCAGGAATCAAAGGCTTGGGAGCTGCCTCCTCCCTTCGTTTCCGCACTAAACAACGTGACTGCAGATGGGAGCCGCGGCTCCCGCGCTAATACGAGCACGGTGCCATTGGGCAGCGATGACGGGGCAGCCGCCCTTGCCTGGCACTGCGGCACTGCTGCCCAACGCTCGGCATCACCGCCACGGGACACGTGGGAGGAAGCACAGGCAGCCCTGCCGGCTTCACGCTGGCCGAGAAACAGCGGCCTGACAGTTTGCAGGGCATCATATCTGCACTTCCAGTCAGCTGGACCCAGAACAGTCCCGGTGATGGCAGAGGAAGGCTTGGCACCGCCAGCACAAGGTGTAAGTTCAATGCTGCCACCACAATTATTATTTTTTCTCTCAGTTTGCTTATTTGCAGTTGCATCTGTCTAGGAGAAGGGCAGGAGAAGCATGTGGCTTGAATCCAGCAGGCTTCCCCTGTGAGCCTTGAGCATTGTCAGGTGGAGAAAAGTGTCTTAGCAGACCTGAAATAGGTGAAGGTCTTTGCAGGCAGCACAACCAGGTTCCCAGGTCTTCTTTCCTAGAGCAGTCTTGCTAGTTCTGCATTTCAGCCTTTAGCGCGGGCTCACCTTGGTTGCAGAGCCAAGAGATGGCCTCTCCTTGGAAGCTAAGCGTATGATGAATCACTACCAGCGACGCTCCTTTTTAATCTTAGCTAATGACTATTTTAGGAACGCTCCCGTTGTTTCTGATCCTTAATATAACCAAAGTTGCAGGTTCCAAATTACACATAAGCCTCCCTTCTCCACCATCTCGCAGTCACGTTTGCTCTCCTCTTCCCTCCACCGCCAAGACAGGGCTGCCAGTGCTCCCCGCAGGGCCGGGGCTGCCGGCAGCGTCGCGGGGGTTTCTGGTTTGCCGGCCCAGAAGCAGAGCTGCTCCCAACCAGGGGAACGTTTTGCTCCAGCAGCCTGGGATGCCGCTAAATGGTTGCTCTCTTGAGCCAGGTATGAGCCACAATTCTGCCACTAAATAGATTTTCCTTTTGTTGTCACATTAATTTGCAACTCATTAATAGTGACAGAAGTGAAGTACTGCGCTGATGCAGATTTGCATATTCATGACCAACTTATTATTAAACAAATAAGATTTTCCTAGCTTAGGAAGCACCCAGAGTAATGCCACATTGTACATTATATCAGCCTGGCTGTTTTATTTTTCTTTTAATATGTTAATAGATGCAAGGACGCTTCTCCCCCCCCCCCCAGTAAATATGCAGCTATAAAATAGCAGGTAATTTAAAATATCAGAACCGTTTAAGCAGTAATCCATTAACAAACTTGTCAATAATTGAGCGGGAATAGCTGTTTAATGTGCGAATCAATTAATCAATCCTAACTTCTTGCTTTGTCGCCGGGTAATGCAGAGCACCCGCAAGGGCACAGCTGAGTCACCGCGGCACTGAGGTAAGCGGCAGCCTCATGGATTTGCCTTTTTTTTTTTTTTTTTGGCTTATGTTCTTTAGGTGTTTTACTGGTCATGCGGAAAAAAAAAAAAAAAAAAAAGGKTTWTTTCTCGTAATTGGATGTTTGTATTTTGTCCGGGGCTCATCCCCAGGACGAGGGGCTGGCCAGTTCCCATGGCAGCTCTGCAGGGCCCTCCCGCTCCGCTCTCCCTTCCCTCCCGGCAGCTCTGCCCGCCGGTCCCGCCTGGCTGCTGCTCCCCGCAGGGCAGCTCCGTGGCGGGATCCCGAGGCGCTTCCCGGCACGGGGCGAAGTCTGTTCTCGCCATCCCGCTGCTGAGGCTCATGTGCCGCCGGAGCCCCGGGAAAGCCTCCAGAATCCAAAATGTGAGGCGGAGGATGGGGAGCAGCAGCGGCGCCGCAGCCTGCAATTTCCTGCCCTGATGGTGACGGCGACGGTTGCGTCTCACACGGCAGCGCTGTGGGTTTTCTTCTCCCTTGCAGGCTTATTCCAGGCTGGCCCATGCGCATATCAAACCCCAGCTCACCTCCCTCCTATGTTCATGGTTTTTATTCCTTTTGGCCTTTTCTAACGATTTCTAGGGTACCGAGCACAACAGCACGTGTGGGAACCAGCTGGCTGCCACCGAGTGTCTCTCAGTCCTCACGTTACCCTTTTTCCCCGCTGCCTGGCCGGGAGACCAGTGTGTCTCTTGCCCCATCCTGCCGCTTCTGTGTGAGTTACCAGCCTGCCCTTCCTTCTGAGACGCTGGGATCCCGTTGCTGCCCTGCCACAAAAGGTCCGGGACGCGGCAGGAAACTCTCCTGGAGCGCAAGGCACGGCTCAACCTCAAGGACGGCCCCGAGGTAAGGAGGGAAGCGAGGCAGCTTTTCGGAGGCTGTATATCCCAACCTCTGCGGGCCCTTCTCTGACATGGAATAATTCCATTTTCTGATGTGGGATCTGTTATCTTCATCGTCAGGCCCTTCACTGGCAGAACGGGGCAATCCAGCCTGTTTCTTGTCAGTGGGTCTGCAGCCTGGCTGCTGCTGCTGCTCCGAGGGGGCCATTTTGACGTGCCACGGATGCACAGGGTCAGTCAACACCAGTGGCAGGCGCACGTGATGTCTGGGATGGCGCTTCGCGTTTGTAGCTGTCAGAATTTCAAGGAAAAGGCTCCC